ATTTTTCTTTTTCTTTTTTGAATTACCAGGAGATTCTGGACCGAATAATTTTTCCAGACCCAAAATCACAGCATGTATTATTGGTTTCATCTCAAACGTTATTTAATCATGTGACCTTTAAACTTTGTCTCGTGTCCCTTTACGAATCGAGCTAGCAACACTTGGTCATGTGTTTTATTTTCATTTGATTTGAAAGTTGAAATAGTAAAATGTGAAAGATATTATTTACAATATATTAATTATAAACATCTTTTCAAAGTATCCACGAAAATGCTTCTGAAAAATATAAGTCGATTATTAATATAATAATTTATTTATTAAAATACTAATGTTGACAAGGAGCATGCGTATGAATCTTCTGATGCTCCTCTGTAGCTGATGTATCATAGTGTTAGCAGTATCTGTTGAGTGTATGGTAGAGTTTGCAAGGTTTTATATCAAACTATATACAAAATTATGTTCATTTTTTATCTCTTAACTAAACTCAATGTATATTCTGTTAGATAAAATGTAATAAGATGATTTTAAAACTTTCTTTAAATCATGTACTTTACTTTTAGTTTATAAATATAAATATTAGCATATAAATTGAAAAAAAACATTTGCAAGTTAGAATTATTTCGTGGGTTTTATAATATGATCTTACTGAAAAAAATATTTTATATATAATAAAAAACTACATTGACAATATATTACTCTATTTTAAATGAAAAGAACATATAAAAATATTACAAAATTTCTCTTAGTAGAGAGAAAACTAAAAGTAGTATAATTAGATACAATTAGCTTTTAGGAAGAGTTAAAAAAAATTAGTAAGAAGAATCTAAAAAAATATTAATCTAAGCCAATATATGGTTTTTCTTCTCAAATCTCATAAAAATCATATAAATGCTCCAAACTATATAAGATGTATATGATTTATTTGGGCTAGTCAGGCCTGACCATGAAATTTTGGAGGCCTGAAGTAGATTAAAAAATATGGGTCAAATAGAAAAAATATTTTATAAATATTTTATTGTTTTAATATAAAAATAGAATTTATATAGAAAAATTATAAAATCAATACAACAATAACACCAAAGTTTCTCTATGACTTGACACATCAGCTTTTTCAAGTTAGTAGAAACAGACACATCAGCAAAATCAACAACCAATCATAACATTTTAATTAATACACATCATCTACTACTTTTTATTATTATTTTTAATTTAAACCCATTAAAATCCCAAATATTTTTTTTGTTAATCTTTGTTTTATTTTTACCAAACCCAAGCTCAAATATTAAATAACAGTAAATAAAAAAAAATCTTTATTTTATTTGTTGCAAAATCTAAATCCAAACCCAAATAATAAATAACAACAAATAAAAAAAATATTTTATTTTTTGCCAAACCCAAGCCCAAATAATAAAAACAGCAAATTAAAAAATTAAAATTTTGTGGATATAATAACTTCAATTAAACAACAAACTTATTACAATCGTTCGTTGATGCACTGTAACGTCTTATGATTCGGATATATCTTAACATAAACTTAAAACAACAGAGTTTGGTTCTATATGTGAAAAAGTTTAGAATCGTCTTGTTATTGTTGTGAAACAGAGCTGAAAGGTATGCCAGTGGAGATGGTAGCTAAGTTAGTATCTGAGCATGCAAGGAAACAATGTTTTTAGCTCTGTTTGTAATTTTCTCAAATAACTATAAATATAGCACGAACACATCACCATTTTTATAAATTGTATCTCTCTATCTTTCATAGTATCTAAAAATCTTATATGTACCTTTTGTTTGTTGTATGAGTAGAAAAAAAAAGAGAGAGTGGATATTGTGGTTGGTTTATAATGTAATAGCCATCAAAGTATTTTTAATCAAGAGATTTATATTTGTGCTTTTGAATCTTTCTTTCCTTAATCTATAGTAGTAATCTCCGTAAAATCATCAAAACATTGCTCACTATAGCAAATTCGTTAAAAATATAATCCGAACTAAACTGAAAAATAAATCTATGAGAATGATCAAAAAAATAAGTGTGGCCTTTTTTAACCAAACCAAGTTTTGGATTGGGCTCGTGTGAGGCTTCTTGTAGTTGTTGTCGTAGATCTTTTTAGGTGTTAAGTCTACAGTGTTTTTAGGATTTGGTTTCTCTCCAGACCCAATTTGAAATTTTATTGGAAGAGTTATAAATCCAAAAACACAAAAAATAATTAATTAATTATTGTTATCAATTTTTTTTTTAAAGTTTCAACTGGTTAATATTCATAAGCCTTTGTAAGGCAAACATACAAATGTCATTTTCAGGTGGAAATTGAACCAATTTATAGTGTCTTAGTTGAGGTTTTTATTGGATTTAATTCGCTAGGTTAGGTTCGACAAAGACTGTTAAAAGAATAACGTAAAATAAATAACATAAGAATCATTAAAACACTTAAAATTAATAATGCAGTGAAAAACTCTAATGAAGAAGATACTTACCTAATTAACAAAGTTTCAAGAGACTAAAAGATGCATAGTCATCATAAGAGATGAGAGATGCATAATCTCACTAGATCTCTTCCTCCAATTGTGTCGCTTGACAAATTCATGTCACTCATAGTTTCAGAATCTCCATTTGACTCTTTCACTTTAGATGTTGTAAAATAATCATTGTTCCGTATAATAATGATGGAGAAATGATTTTGATTTAAGAAAATGGTATTTTTTATTCAAAAGAAAGAGATATCAAAATACTCAAAAAGAGAAGTTTTAGCGTTTTATAGTTGACGTCTTTATTTTCTTTCAGATTCAACATTTTAAATTTATACTATAATTGTCGACAGTCTTCGATGATATAAGTTTAGTATGTGTAAGATCAACATTTTATATTATACGATTGAAATAACATATCAGCTCACAAAAGGAGACAAAGTAAAGATAAACCCTAAGCTGATAACATTTAAATGTGAGGACTATATAAATATGTCAAACATCTATGAATATGTCTTGAGTGAACAATGGTTATTTCTATTTGTTATAAAACAGATTAACATAAAGTTTTTTTATTAGTGAAAAAAGATTTTTATAAAATAAATAAAATTTCATATTAAAGAAAATACTTTTATTGTGAAATTTTACATTTAAGATATTTTCCGTTCAAAACAAATATATATATATGAGAATTAATTTCAATCTTGACCTTTTATATTCACAACTTAGATATAGTTTTACATCATCCAAGTGTCTATTAGTGTTTTAATTCGACCTCAACTCACCATTATAACCATTTATGTCCTTTTGAACACAACAAAACATCTAATACAAATATTTTTCTAAGAAAACTTACATTTACTCAAAAAGATAAATGATGTGGCATAAATTAACGTTAAGATTGTTTTACTATTAAGCTTCAAAACTTTAAAATCGAAACACTAATCTAAATAATATTTTTGTGCATGCATGTTCACAAAGTCTATAATCAAAAAGTGGTAGATCATTAGATACTTTAAACATGTTTTGGAGAAAAACAACTAGATGGGTGAGCGATTTTTTTTTAAGTTAAAAAAATATGAAACTATGATAAAATTTAGTAGGATGTCATTTGAGTAAATTTTTATATCAATTTAAAGGGATGTCAGTTTAAGACAGTAAGGATAATACCGTGAATTATGCTCTTGGTGAGAGGAGATTCGGTTAGATGCAGTAATTACTAAAGTTAAAGAATTGCATATAAGCATGTTCTACCATATGTGTTGCCTTACATCCACCTCTCGTAAAAATTAGATAAACAGTGACTATAACATAAAATGCATCTAAAACAGAATTTCATTAATAGATTTGTATATTTCTTAAAATATGCATATAATATTAATTTTAATATATTTTATTTTACCAAAATATAGCATTAAATCAATAAAAGATAATTAAAAAATAACCCACATAAATAAATCAAATTTTCTTTTCATGGTACTTTCATAATATACAAAATATCAATATTACTTTGTTCTCTTTCAGATCAAATAATATATTTTAAACAATTAGTTCAGTGTTAATATTAAACATATAAATAAAACGTTTAAATCAACTTTCCGCTGCGTAGCGCGAGTATATACCTAGTATTAATAAAAAACTATTGAATACATTAATAGAACAGCAAAAACCAAACAAATTATTGTATATACACTAATTTTTTTTTAATCTTTAAGCTACCAAAAAATGGAAACCAAGACAAAAACCTCATTTGGCTTGGCTCAAGACCAGTCATGAGGCCAGTTAATTAGAAAGAGATCTAATTAATTAGAAAGAGATCTACAAGAAGTAAATGTCTATTTTAAAGTTACATGGTCTTAATACCTCAAGATATATTCAAAAAAGAAAAAATGTCCCCAAAAGTATAATATATGTGTGGGGCTTACAAATTATATTGGAAAAATCAAATAATTCAATCATATGGGTACACATATACTTTTTATGACACAAAATAAATATGGAAATGTATAAGAAAAAAAAGTAGTCACATTCATGCATTAAAATGTTAGTATAACCATATTATACTATATTTTACTGGATTCAGATGAGCACAAAAATAAAAATAAAAGATATTACCTGGCCATGTAAATTTTATATTATATAATATTATTATTTGTATTATAATTTGAAGTTTTTCATCAATTTATCATGATAAAATATAAAATATACATAAAAGATGTAATCATATATTAATTTATATTTTATTATATGTTTTGCAAATTTTTTGTTTATATACTTGGTTTTAATATATAGAACAAAATAGTAAATAAAATTTAAAAACGATTCGTATTTTAGAAGAATTCCGTGAGATTCACGGTAGGTTTTTATGCGAAATAATTTTTTTTCTTTAGAAAATATTAAAGAAACTATTTTATAACCATAATTTTGCATTTACAATAACAATATATTATTTTAATGAAAAAAGCAAAAATCACATAATTTTTTTTAAAAAAGAGATAGATATATATTAGTTATAAATTTAAATCATAAGGCTATGTTTTTCTTCTTAGATCATAATCTTATCTAAATGCATCAGTATACATTGATTGGATGGCTGTAATTTAAAGTTCATGAGTAAAAGTGATAAGAAACCTAGCTAGTAAAATCACCATTTCTCCACTATATAACAATTCTCATGCTAACAAAATAAAGCGCACACACACACAAACAACATGACAATGATAATGAATTTGAGGAATAAGGTGAAAGTAGCGTCCATAGAAAAATGTAGGAAAAAAATATTCAAGAAGAACGCAAAAGCAGTGATGAAGAAACTCTACGGGCTCTTCAAACTTTGCAACGGTAAACCCTGTGTAATTGTCTTCCCTGGGAAATCAAGGGGAGGTGGTGAAAAGGTGCTTTCAAAGTTTATGGAGTTGCTGTATGAGAACCTGATGAAGAAGGTGCTGATTCAGAAGATCGCCAAGGTGAAAAAGCAAGTGCAGACACTTCGTGAAGCGAACCTTCGGGAGTATGGTGAGTTTGTATTCTTCTTTACTTTCTCCTCCTCGTGATGTTGTTCTTCCAATGAAGTCTAATGATCAGATGCAATATCAATTTCCTTATGATTATAATATAATCCTACAAAAACAACTGATGTTCTTTATGATTTTTATGATAAACTCCCAGAAAAAAATGAAGCCTTCTGTAAGAAGTATAATCTCAATCCGGAGATGTTTTGGAACGTGTCGGAGGAGCAGATGACTGATGTTGGAGACATGTCTTCCATGAACGGCAAGCAACCACCAACCATCAACGGCTAGTCCTGTGTCCTCCCTCACCACCTCCACCATCACCAATAATCGTTAGTCCAAAGGGATAAAACTAGCGTGGAGTGTTTCATCATTTATATTTGTGTTTTCTTCATTTCAAAAGACAATTTCTGTATGATGTTTTCTTTTGTTAACATAAGTTGTAATGGTTGAGGATTTGCCTTTTTAAGTAATTTGTGTTATCTTGAACTTTTATTTATCAAATTATGTTTTCGTGGGAAAAAAATTCAGTTTTCTGATTTTTCTTTTCGTCTATAATATTATATAATTTTAAATTATAAACATAATTATAAAAACAAATTTTAATGGATAATTAAACTATTTTATTATAATCACGGTAGCGTGTACGACAAATAGCTCTACTTGCATTATATTATTAATCGCAAACTCTACATTTTGAAATAATTTTTTACTTAAATCTTTAAAATCATTTTTTAAGAAATCCATAACAATAGAAAATCAACTCCTAGCCCCTAATCTTACAAGTGAATCATATGTCCCAACATTAACAATATATCATATTTCCTCTTTCACAAGTGAATCACTGACATTTACAATAGATCATATGCCCCTTTCACAAGTGAATCACTACTATCTTGCCACTGATTCATGTGTTCCCAACATTACCAATAATCTCTAGTCTGAAGTGTATATTTTCCGTGTGAAGTGTATGTTTCATAGATTGAATTTGTGCATTTGCATTGATGCAGTAATGAATATTCCATCTTAGAAAACTGATGGAGACGTTGACACACTTTGGCGAAGGTTTGTAAAGATTTGTCATAGTTTTAGCAGTCTATCATAATCTTGGCAAAATTTGCTTGTGGTAAACATCTAGCTTATACTCGCAATATATAGGTTTGACTGGTATATAACTTAATAGCAGAATAACGGAATAGCGGAATAGCTGAATAATAATTTAGCGGAATTAATCAAATGAGTAAACTAAAATCTGAATAAACTCAAAACCCTAAAACACTAGTATCTATTAAATGAATGATTTTTTTTTCTAAACTAGTTATAAATTTAAAGCATACAAGATGGTTTGGAAAATAACGTGTTTATTTTCATCTTTCATCATTAAATGTTTAATAATTTAAATGGTATATATTCAGTGGAATCATGTGTTTCAAAATTAATATGAAAACGTGAAAAAACTACATACTATTAAACCTCTATATTTTATTTCAACCTGCAAACTAACAGATATACAATAACAATATTTAACAAATGCACGATATAGGGCGATTGGCAAACAAACAAATACCAAAAAAAAACTAGTAAATGATTCAATTATGCGTGTAAGTAAACCCTTGTTCCTCACCAATAATCTAAGGTAGTATAAAACTACACCGTTTTGGTGATTGCACACAGAAACAAAACCACACCGGTTTTAGCAAAGAATCTCTCCATTACGGTTACGCATTAACTACCACAAGTCAACGAATTTCCAAAAACAAAATCCCCAAATTTTCTAATGGGCTCCGCCGGAAAACCCGCCGACATCGTAACCGACCCGGAGCCAGGACCCGAGACTTCTCTCCTCCTCAACCCTCACCAAGGATCAACAACCAAAACCCCTCCCGATTCCTTCTACTTGGCTTACATCATCTACTTCACGCTCGGCGTCGGCTTTCTTCTCCCATGGAACGCCTTCATCACCGCCGTCGATTACTTCTCCTACCTCTACCCTTCAGCCGCCGTCGATCGGATCTTCGCCGTTGTTTACATGGTCGTCGGACTTGTCGGTATCCTCGTTATCGTCGTCTTCTACGCGCATAAGAGCCTCGCTAGCTTCAGGATCAATCTCGGCCTCATACTCTTCGTGATCGCCTTGCTTGTGGTCCCTGTTTTGGACCTGGTCTATGTCAAGGGGCAAGTCGGTTTATACGCCGGATTCGTTATCACCTCCGTCGCGCTTGCCGTCTCCGGTCTCGCCGATGCGCTCATGCAGGGAGGTCTAATCGGCGTAGCTGGTGAAATGCCTGAGAGGTATACGCAAGCTATTATCGCCGGAACTGCTGGCTCCGGTAAATAAAGTTTCCACCTTTATTTTGAAAAACCAAAATGCAGAATTGATATTGTTTGAATAACTTAGAAAGGTATGGTTTTTTAGGTGTTCTTGTTTCACTATTGAGGATCTTGACTAAAGCCGTGTATCCTCAAGATCCTGATGGGCTAAGAAAAAGTGCGAACCTTTACTTTGCTGTTGGAATCGTTGTGATGGTGATCTGTGCTGTGTCCTACAACGTGGCGCATAGACTTCCGGTGATCAAGTTCTATGAAGAGCGCAAGGCTCAAGCGCTACTCAAGGAGAGTGAAGAGAACGGTTCTTTGACCGGACCGGTATGGAGGAAGACACTGTGGCAGATCGTGACGAGGATCAAGTCTCATGGTTTCGGGATCATTCTCATATACGTCGTGACGTTGTCGATATTCCCTGGCTACCTCACCGAGGATGTTCACTCCGAGGCTCTTAAAGATTGGTACCCTGTTCTGCTCATTGCAGCATTCAACGTGTTTGACTTGGTTGGGAAGTCTTTGACCGCTGTGTTCATGGTCGCTGATGAGAAGATCGCTGTTGGTGGTTGCATCGCTAGGCTCTTGTTTTACCCTCTCTTTTGGGGTTGCTTGCACGGTCCGATGTTTCTAAGGACCGAGATCCCTGTAGCTATACTGACATGCTTATTGGGACTCACTAACGGGTACTTGACAAGCGTCTTGATGATTCTGACTCCAAAAGCTGTTCCACTGAACCAATCTGAGACCGCGGGTATCGTCAGTGTTCTGTTCTTGGTTATTGGTTTGGCCTCTGGGTCTGTCTTGGCTTGGTTTTGGGTCATCTGATTCTACCAAAAGCTTGTCATCTGTATTTGTATTCTTTTTGAGCTTCAAAAAACTAAGCTTCATTCATTTGTGAATCGTTTGTTTTTACTTTTAGTAAAACTCTTTCCTTTTTACACCAAGAACACAGTAATCAGAAAAAAAGTCTGAAACGTGGATTCAGTGATCTCAATATAAATCTTCAAGGATTCTTCGATTTGATTCTGAGCTTTCTAGTGATCTTTGATGCTTTTGGATGGACTATGCGTTTCTTGTTGTTGCTATCAGATTGTTCGACTTCAATCCAGTTTAAAACTCTGAGAATCAGAGATTGAGGAACCTTCTTAACGTCTGCATCATCAGGGCCTCTAGATTTCTTCATACCTTTCTCCAGAGCCGTTTCGATGAAATCCATGAACCAGTTCGCAGCTTCGTCCTTGACTTCCTTCGCCAGCCTTATCGTGTTGCTTATTCCGCCACAAGCCGCTGGGTTCTTGTTCTCGTCATTTGATCTCAGTGTCTTCCCTTCACTCTGCTGCTTCAGGATAAGCCGCCTCTTTGTTCTGTTTTTCTCTTGATCAATAGAGTTGTGAGCGATCTCGTGCAAGACCAAAGACTCTTCTTCTCCTGGTCTCTGGTTTTCGGTTCTTGTGTTCATGCTCTGTGACTTGTTCTCTGCTTCAATGGATGCTATTTCGGATATAGTTTGTGCCATCTGTTTGTGAAACTCCATGAACTTCTCAAAGCAAACGGCAGGACAATCAGCTTTTGCTGATTTGCTCAGATTAGCAAATGTCCTGTTCCCAAGAAAGCCACATCACAACTCAAAACTCAAATCCGGTTAAAAATATAAAAAGGAAGATCTTTGTTTTATATACTTGATATGACGAACGACTGTTTCGGTAGCTGTAGCTTCTCGCAATGCCTGAAGGGCAATCTTCTGAGCTGTTTCCTGAAGCTGAGTTGCTTCCTGTCACCAAGGTAACACAAAAGAAGATTGAGTCTCAATAGAGATGGGAGCTTCAATCAAATCACTGAGTCACTGAGTTTGAATAACCTTGCTTAGTGTGTTGAATCTTCCTGGTAGATTGTTATCTTTCAAGGGTTTCATCAGCTTAATATGAGATTCCTGCCTTAAGGAAGCCGTCTTCTTCGATGTGGACAATGGAACAATATCTTCTTGAGCTTCTGCAAAAAGGCAAAAGCAGCAATCAAGAAACAAAGCTCTGTCTTGAACAAACTATGGTTTGATCAATAGACTGTGAAAAGCAACAAATGTACCTACGGAGGATTTGAATGGAGTAAGAACAGAAGCTGATGTATTATTATTGTTCCTCTTCGCTTCTCTGTCACAAACACTTCTACTTCTCGGAAACTTTGAAGCCGACGGAACAGCACAGCTCTTTCTCAGCATCGCCGGACTCTCTCCTTCCATTTTCCCCAAAACCCCTCCGCCAAAGGAGCATCTCACGCCGCCTCTTCTGATCGGAGACGCTGCGAATCTAGCTGAAGCGGTCCTCTTCGCCGGCGTGGAACGGTCAAAATCCAACGGCGTTGGTTTCAGGACAAACGGGGACGCAAAGTCGCCGTTTTGTCCCCAAGACCCTCTTCTTGGCTTCGACCCAGGTTCTTGATCGGCTTTACCTTTCGGACCCATCAACGGCTCCGGCGTCCCGAGCAGAGGGTGCCGGCCAGGGATTGGCTTTGCGCCTCTGATGATGGGAACAGGAGATCCGGGTTCGAGCCGATCGACGTAGATAAACTGACCCAGCTGCATCCTGTTGCTGAGAACGACGTCGTCTTGGTCCGAAGGAAGTGTGACGTATATTGAGTGAGAGGAATCGGAGACTTTGAGGAGAAACCCTTTTTGGGGCACCAGATTCTTCTCGTCGAGATCCATGGGGACGATATCGGTGACCTGTAACATAGAGCTCCGGTGCTCTCTGGTCGGTTTGATTCCCGTTTTCATACCTTCGATTAGCTTTTGAAGGATTCCGGGAGCCAAAGCCGCCATTTTTTTTGTCGAGCTTTTCAGTTCAAGAACGGCGATTTAGGCGAGAAATTTCTGAATTTCAAGAACTGGGTATTGTCGTATTGATCAGGAGGAGTCGAATCACTTGATGGGCTTCGTTGAGATGAGATGGATCTTAAGGATTTGAAGTTTATCAGGGAGCCAACGGTTAGAAGTAGGAGACGAAGGGGGAGGATAGAAAAAAGGAAACCTTTCGAAAAGAAACAAAGTTATGGCTTTTTTGGAACGTTTCAACGGTCAAATTTCTGGTAGATCTCTATCTTAACTATTCTATTTGAATTATCTAATATATCCGTGATCATTTTGGTTTTACTGTTCCCTTCTCAAGAATGTATATACAGATAATTAGCTCGAAGTTAGGTCAGAGGTCATTAGCCAATTTGAGGAACCAAATTCTTCTGGTAGATAAAATTGGTGCACAGATTAACCAGTTCTACTAACCGAATATTCATTTTCTTATGCTTGTACCTTTAATAATATTGGTGTAAATGGTAAAAAATGATTTGAGATTTGGATTCAATAAAGATGAAGTGTTTCAATAATAACTTGATTTGTTCTAGTAAATGAATAGTTTATTTCCGGGCAGAAGAAGAGTTAAGGTAATGAAAAATCATCAACTGAAGATGACAATGGTATAAATGAACAGAACAAAGCATGTTTCGTTCGCTACTTTGATATCTTAAACCTATCTCGGAAAAAACTGCAAAGCTCCCGATGAAATGAAACAAGTTTCTTGGAATTTGACAAGTAATAGTCCCCACCTGGAATCAAAACTTGCAGGCCATGTTATAGTGTCGTTGCAAACCCTGCATACACCAAAATGCAAACAATGATTAGCCCACTGTGCAAATTAACCAACACAAGATCTGGTCCGCTGGTTCAATGCATCTTAGCCATGAATAAACACATCATTAAGGATAAAGTTCCACGCTCTTAATGGCAAAGAAAAGGGAATGATAGATCCTCACAATAGATCAATAGTATGATAAAGAAGTAAGCTTATTCCAACTCAATGCGAAGAAAAAAAGAAGGGTTTTTACAAAGTCGATCACTTTATATAAAACTTGTATTAGCATCGTGCCATTGTCAATCATATCACTTAGGGAACCCTACATTTACAAACTGAGGCTACATTTACTGTTAGTACGGAAACAGAATGCAGATTCTCGCTTCATTTCTAAACGTACATAAGCAGTAATTGGAGTTTTCCTCGTTCTCAAGCATCAATGAAACGAAAAGAGCTATAAAAACCAAATTGAATGGAGCAGAGGCTACTAAAACAGTTTGGTGAAGACGAAAGGAGGAAATCAATAGAGAGGAAGAATTAAAAAAGTACCTTCTGATAGGCAACCCCAGCTTTGATTGCTCAGAGATAGCAGTGAAGTGAGCAAAGATGAAGCAGTAACACTATGTAAAGGTATAAGTGATATCCCTGCACTCAGCTCCACAGGTATCCTGAACACAGCCGATTTATAACATTTCAAACCTAAATATCCAGCCGAGATAAACCTGAATTGCATATACTGAGAACAGATCTATCGCCTATATAGAGTGAATCGCCTTACGGATAAAGGTTTTTATACAATCGGTTTCTTGGATTCCGGAGCTAACCTGGAGGATGTGAGCCTGCGAAGTGAGGAGCGAGACGAAGCAGATGATCCACTCGCGAAATCAATTCCTGCGGATTTCCCGATCTTCGAAGCAGAAGATGCAGCTGATGAACGACTGAAGAGTATTCTCCCGGAAGATGACGATAGCTGAAGTGCCCTTCTCACGCCGTTGGCCGCCATGTTTACTCTCTCCTCTCTCTGACTCTCAAAAACTTCGGCGACAATTTGTGATTCACGAAGGTGGGGGTTTAAGTTCGGGCCGGGTCGGGTCGGATCTCAAATTTGTTTGATGCATCACAAGCCTAATTCGGCCCATACTGCAAACCAAACCATAAATTTCTTTGATAGGTATACTTCAAACAAAAAAAATTATATATGTTGTCAAACTAAATAATATCAATATAATATATATATATATAAACGATTTTAATAAATTGTAAATCTGGTTTCATTTAAGAAACTTTGAAAATTTCATGGATATAGAAAAACACACGTCTTTTGATTTAAATTTTTATATATCCATGAAATTTTCAAAGTTTTTATATCCATGAAAATTTCGTGGTTTAATATTTTTTTTTGTAGTAAATCAAATACACAATAGTTTACAATACTAATTACAGAAATTATATATTGTTATTTTTCTTTTTACTTTTTCGAAATAAAAAATATTTATTAATATTAATTTTAATTGTTTTAGGTATCGATACTATTAAAGAGAATTATTTTTAATAAATGTTCAAAAGTTACCATGGTATTTACAAAATATGTCATTATATTTATTAAATAATTTTATTAATTTATTAAGGGTAATTTAGTCATATCATTAAATTTAAAAATACATTAAATTAAATTAGATTATATCAGTTTGTTAACAGATAATACCAATAAATTATATCTGATATTAATAAAATTCAAATAAATTTAATTTCGAAATTATTTTAAAATTTTTCAAAATATTTTAACATAATTACCAAAAATTTATATGACATGAATAACTAATATAATTATATATATTATATTATAAATTCAATATATATTATACTATAATCAAATTTTTCTCTATACAATTAAACGAAAATCACTACTTTAAAATGTCTAAAAACTAATATGACATTTATTAAATGTGAAAATTTATATTCAATGATAAATATGTAATCATTATTTTTGGTTACATATACACATACTATGAAAAAAAATATTATGTAAATATTTTTTTGTCTTGTTTGTTAATAATTTTTTTGCCGGAAATTATGGGTTTGCGGATTTGACAAACACAAATTTGTAAATTTTACGGGTTTTATAAGTTTTAGCGAAAAAAAAATTTTTACAAAAAAATGTCGGTTTGACAAGAAATGTGCTTTTGTAGATTTAGCTGAAACACATGATTTTAAAAATTTGGTCGTAAATCATGATTTTGCAGAGTTTATGGGGTTTACAAGAAAACACGGGTTTACAGAATACGAATAACGCAATTTGTGGATTTTATGGATTTTACAGGTTTTGGCGAGAAAACATACTCATATGGGAAAATGCGGGTTTGTGAGTTTGGAAACTCGATTTTGCAGGTTTGGCAAAAACACATGAGTTTATAATGTTGGTTGTAAAACATGATTATACAGATTTTACAATTTTACGAAAAAATATGGGTTTGTGGATTTGGCCAGAAACGTGATTTTTCGGATTTAATGAGGTTTACATGTTTTGGCGGGGTTTATAGGTTTTGATGGAAAATGCAGGTTTTTGGTTTTGATGAACGCAATTTTGCAGGTTTGACAAAAATACGTAATTTTAGAAATTTGGCCATAGAATACAGTTTTATGGTGTTGGGGAAAACATAAATTTTGGTTTTGTTAAAAAATGTGGGTTTACAGTTTTGGAAGGAAAATAATGAAAAATGTTATTTTTATAGTTTATACAGGAATTCCTGATTTTGGTACAACAACATGATTTAAGTACTTTTTCATTTTATCAAAAAATGTGGGTTCACAGTTTTGGCATGAAAACACTGTTTGATGGAAAATGCTATTTTTACAGTTTCTATGGAGATTCCTGATTTTGGTATAACTACGTGATTTTAGTATTTTACGAGAAAATGCGGCTTTTTATTTCGATAGAAAAATCTGATTTTATGTTTTTGACTTGATTTTATGGTTTAAATCAAAATGTGTTTTGGTCTTTTAATTTTTGAGATTCAAATGCTGCATCCATTTTTTTTTTATCATCTTAAATATTCAAATTTTGAAATATTATAGATTTTGTATCTAGATATTTAAAAGAACAATCTTTAAACATTTATATCCAAATAAGTATCTAGATGCAAAAATAAACAAAACCTAAGTAAATATTAAAATCTTAATTACAAACAAGTAAAATCTCTCTTGCATTATAAAACATAATATTTTAAAAATATCTGTTACAAAATTTAATCAAAAATTCGCTAATCAAAATATTTTTTTTTAAAAAAAAATCAAGTTTAAATAATTTTAAGAATATAAAATCATAATGTAAAAATAGTTTATATAATCTAATAAAAAAATTCTGTTTGGACCACAATCTTGGATTTAATAATATAAGTTAATTTTTTTGAACAAAAGTTTAATATGAGACGATTTTTTGTGTGGTTTAAAAACATTTTACGAAAAGAAAGTCGTGCATATGTGCTGGTCCAAAATCTAATAGTAATATTAAAAACTAGAAAGAAATCTCAAAGATTTGAGAAATTATAATTTTTATTTTGGTAATAACAGATTCTTAAAATTTAAGATAAAATTTAACACAAGTCATTGTCTATTACGAGGATAAGCTACATTTTGAAATCTTGTCACTTGTCAGTTACGAAGGATGAAGCTACAGTTGTGCCTACTCGAGACGAACGAAACCCTGGGTTTCGAATTTCCCGAAGACTGCACTCTCCATGATCTTCAGCTACAGATCGACGGATCGTCGCCGCCTTCCTCTGTTCACTTCTCCCTTAATCGCAAAGACGAGCTCCTCGTGCCGTCTTCCCAAGCCACGCTCCGATCGCTCGGCGTCGTTTCCGGTGACCTCATCTACTACTCTCTCGATCCTTCTGCTTTTACTCCGCCGGATCAGGATTCGCCGACGCAAGCTCCGGTCACGGAAGGACCATTGCCGACGGATCTCGCCGGTGGAAAAAGGTTAGCCGAAACTCTCTTCTTGAGAAAGACACTGTCGGAAGAATCTGGTGACACCTCTGAATTAACGACCATAGTCACGAGTGTTCACGCTGTTATGTTGGAATCTGGATTCTCCCTCTTGGATCATGATCCAACTATGAGATTCAAGTTTTGGGATGAGATGTTTCCGATCTCTCTCAGGTACACTATCCCTGCTCTGATTAGCGATAACGAACCACGCAACGGAGTCGAATCCGTCTGCGTGAAGTTTCAGAAGCTAGGCCATGTGGTTTTAGCTTACGGGTCACTTGGTGCGGGTGGTTCGGTGCGTAAGTTGCGTTTTGATAAACGTTTCTATATGCGCGTTGTTGACTCGCTTATGGAGACTCTCGTATCTGGGAAAGAAGACAGTTTAAGCATCCACCGTGCGGCGTTCACTTGCTGGAGAACGATCAAAGATGGTCTCGTCACGCCTCTTTTGATTGATCTTTGCTACAGAACCGGCTTGGAACTTCCGCATTGCTTCATGCGACTGCCTCGTGACCTTAAACGGAAGATACTAGAGTCTCTTCCAGGTGAGGGCATTGCTGCGATGGCCTGTTTGTCTTTGGAGTTAAGAGAATTGGCTTCGGATAATGACTTGTGGAAGAAGAAATTCTTGAAAAAGTTTGGAGATTTTGACGTTGAAGGCGGTGATGCTGTTGTTAACTGGAAGAAGAGGTTTGCTGAACATCGGATGATGTTTGTGTAGAGGCAGCTTTTGAGTGAATAAGGTTTGTTGACTAAAGTGTTTGTTCGTTTTGTTGTTGTTTCAAATCTTGCAACTATGCATGTTTAGTGAAAGATCATTTGAAAAAATATCTTATCTTGTTAGAAACTGTGTTCATGGAAAACTAGAATGTTTGAGTTTGATTGATGAAACAGAGTCTTTAGTAGTGTTCACATGGGAATTGGCATTTAGTCTTTGATTATTCCCAACCAACTAGAAACAGAGTTTTAACACAGAGGTCCAAAATGAATGAAGTGAAAACTCTGCAAAGGACAACACACAGAGAGACTCTATTGAAAGTTGAGTTTGATCACACAACACTTAATGCATCTGTAGAGCCCTCCTCGTAGATATTTTCATAGTTTTAATGTCACACAAAAAACACCATTTCTCTTCCCAATAATGGATTTGGACTAAGTTAGTTGAAACAGGTAGACTTACTTCAATGGAGAGAGAGAGAGATGTGTGTGGGGGTCTCTCTGATCACACGCAGAGGTCAAAGCTATTTTTACTTCTCTCTGAAACATTGTCATAAAACATCTTTGACGAAACCGTGAACTTGTAAAGAGGTATCACATTAACCAAACGAAGAAGACGTTGTATTGTGTTCTCTGTGATTACATAACACAACCTCGTTTCTAGTATTGAGTCCCCTCTTTAGGTCCCGTACAATGATACATTATTATATTCACATTTGATTTTGGTAACGAAAACCACGTGATAGAGATGTAAAGAAATTCTTTTGACCAACAAAAAAAGAATACGTAATGAAATTCAAAATAATTATATATAATCCTTCTATGGTGCGAGATTTAAGGGGGGGAGAAAGCAACTAAGATTTTTAAAAATTATTAAACCAAATAGTTCAGTAGGTAGTCGAAAGTGATAGATCCATTTTAATGCACTTGATGATGAACCCATAATTTTTTATAATTTTTTCTTATGCATATACGCTCGGGGATCCGAAAAGAAAATTCTATGTTATGTTTTAAATATGAGTTAGGTGACATTTGTATGTACTAAAATAAAGCTGAAATAAAGAGAAAAGAAAGCAAATAGTTGTCGGAAGAAAGAAGAAGCAAAACAGTGAAAGCCAAAAAAGAAACGAAAAAAAAAAGCAAAGACAATGAGTAGCTGTTTCAAGTTCAAAAGATGATTATGCAAAATCCGTATTTTGCTCCATCATTAGGGAGAAAATGAAGCTGATCCACATGCTGATTTGTCTACAAGAATTATGTTTACGTTGGAAGTTAAATTGCGACTGATAAGGATGTAATTAATTAAATCGAAGTAGGTCTAACTGCAAATAGGTTTCTGATTCCCTCAAATTGATGACACATGTTTATGTTACAGACAATAGTCTCTTTACATTTAGTTGTTTTGGTCAATTAGTCTCTTTACTTTAGTTTTTTGGTCAATTAGTCTCTTTACATTTAGTTTTTTGGTCAATTAGTCTCTTTACATATACTAAGAAGTTTGGTGTGTTTTGTTTCTCCGGGATTTCATGTTATTAAAGACAAGCTGTTCTATTTTTGGAAAGTCGTGTTCTTTTGGCATATAGTTTACACAAATTTGAAACCAGCTATTACAAAAACTTTTTGTTAACGCGTGAATTATAAGTTCCTGCGACTAAAAGTCTAAGACAAATATAGAATACATATACATTAGAAATGTGATTATGTGAATATGATTAACTCAAAAGTTAACTGATCCGAGCATTTGTTATTCGTCGTCATTCAAATACAAATGTTCATTGATTCAAATTTTTTTCCAAAAGATTTTTTTTTTTTCCAAAAATATTCATATTATTTAGCTTTTTTTTTTCTTTCTGCAAACTACTTGTCTTTTTTATTGCGCAAATGACATGTGATCATAATGGTTTTACCTCTGATTCCAACACCAACGAGAGTCTATGAAAAACGATATAGAACTAATCAACTGTATGAAATCCACTCAGTCACAATGTCAAATTATAATTTGAGAAACATTCAGTAATTGCATTTTACACACACAACTAAAAATTGTCAGGATTCACAAAATACTTTCTATTATCGCATGTTTTGAAAGAGACTCACGGGATTCAGTAATACAAGTACTCAAACAAATTAATCTCACGAGACAAGTTTAAATGTAATGTCGGCTCCCGTAAACTCCCAACAAAATAAAAACAAACACGAAAAAATTCATATATTAAAAATGTTCGAGAGCAGCCACAGCGCCAAGTGTGTTACCTTCATTACGCATTTGTCCCATTGAAAATATAAAGCCTGCTCGTGACTCTCCCTTTTCTCCATATCTTTATATATTTTTTTTTGCATTGATGAGATTGATAAATATTGTGAAAATATAATGGTTATAAAAATTGGGTGGCACATAAAGTCCACCTCATCTTTCTACACGCCTACATCTTGTGGACATAACTTAGCACATGTATTGAAACACCATCGCTGTCTCCATCTTCTTATATTATTTTTTTCCATCATTTTTTATATACATATAACTACCTCATATATAAATAATATACACATGATATATCTCTATATCACAATCTATAATCTCTTCATTTATTAGATAAAATAAATATCCAATCAGCCAATCCAACCAACCAGCCATAATCATAAATTCCGTCAACAGACATTCACTTTTTTTTTTTAATTATTCTTACCGCCACAAACAAATCAGTAAACAAGTCTTTTTACTGTTTACTGAAAAACTTAAAACATATAACAATAGTAGAAAAGAAAAACTAAACATTCCTCTATTTAAAATCTCGGCGATAGGATCATAATATTTAATATTTTTTAATGGAAAAAAGATAAATCCGGACGTAGATCGAACCTCCGATCCCAAACTCTTTTAGCCAATCAGGTTTAATCGGCGATAGCCCAGTTCATGTCGTTTTCAAATATCCAGTGACAAACTTCAATCTGACCCGGTTTTGACCCGAGAGCTAAGAAAGCTCCGTGGGTCGGACCCCACGATGACGTGTCCATGTGACAGATGGCGATTCCGTGGTTGATCTTGGTCTTACTGTTCAACTCCAGAAGATCCGCTTCATAGACCCGAACCTTTGGGACCGAGTGGCAGTAATACAATAGATACGGGTACAAACTTTGGTGACACGAAACCGCTTTCGTTAGTTTCCCGCCGTTGATTCCGTTGACTTTTCCGATCACCACCTTCTGCTTTGACCCGGCCACATTCTCCGTCGTTCGGAGCACCACGCTACGCCCGAGCACGGAAGTTGCGAAATCGATCATGTCCTCGGCGGATCCCACGCACCGTTTCGTCTCTCCGGCGCTCGGAGGCCTCTCGCATTCCGTCACCGCGTCGGAGATTATGTTCTCCATCGTCGAGTTCTCTCCGGCGTGGAAGATTCTCTTAATCTCCCCCAATTTGGAAGTGGAGAAGGGTAGTTTCGAGATGATGCTCCGGGGCAAAAACGACCTTTTAGGCATTTTATCCTTAATGTCAGGCATAGGAATCACTGTTCCTTCTTTAAGAGTCGATTCCCTAAAGAATTTACCCGGCTCGATCCACTTATTCACGGTTTTGCCATCGCCGACGCCTGAAGCGGCGGAAGAAACGTTGTACTTGGCGAAAGCGACGCCTTTCTTAGCGTAATCCTTGAAGGTGGAGTTTGGAGTGTAGGTTTTGAATCCGATTTTGCTTCCTTCAGCTCCTTTGCCGTAACCGGTGAAAGTTTCCGATCCGGGATTGAAAGATTGGCCGTAATTTACGAAATTGACCTTCTCCGAGTTCGAGTCCTTGGCGTAGGAGGAGAACGAGTCGTCGCCGACGTTCGCTTTGTCTCTGTAGTTCGCGAACGTGTCGACGGCGGCGTTTCCGGAGGCGCCGTAGTTTTTGAAATTGTTCTGCGGCACATTGCCGTCGCTTCCGTAGCTAGTGAAGGAGTCGTTGGCGGCGTTTCCCTTCTCGCCGTAATTCGAGAAACCGGAGCCGATCACGTTGGCGGAGACGCCGTAGGAGGCGAACTCGTTCGGTAATCCGTTTCCGTTTTTGCCGTAGCTCGTGAACGATTGGCCGCTCCCGGCGTTAGCCTCGTGCGTGTATGTCTTGAATGTCTGAGATCGACCGTTTCCGCCGTCGGAATACGACGTGAATCTGCTCGTAGGGTTGTTAACGCCGTTTTGGTAGTTGGTGAAATCTCCGGCGCCGCCGGTTCCGAAGGTCCCGTAGGAATTGAAGTTCTCCTCGACGACGTTGCTGCTCTCGCCGTAGACGGTGAATTTATCGTCGTGACCCGCCCCGCCGCGGCTGTATCTCCGGAACGAATCGGTGACGACGTTGCCGTCTTTGGAGTAAGTTTTGAACTGGTCGGCGCCGCCGGCACGGGCATTGCCGTAGTTTGTGAAGTTTTTCTGGTCGTAGACGGAGAACTTGACGTCGTCGTCGTGCTTCTCGAGACTCGGGCTCAAATCCGGGAAACAGAAGAGGTTCGCGGCGGAGCAGAAATCAGGGAGACGAGTCGGGAGCGAGTTCTGGGCGGCGAGTTTGGCGAAAGTGGCAGAGTCGACGGCGTTGAGAGGCGACGCCTTGGAGACTAGAAACTCCGATCTGAGAGACTTGTCGCCGCGGATCTCTTTGTTCCAGTAACGAACAAGAGATGCTTTGGGAGTGAATGGATTCTCTTCCGCCGAGAAACCGCCGCCGATTAACCGTCCTCCGACGAGAACAACCTGCATTGCCCTCAAAATCACCATTGAATCAACAAACAGCAAATCAAACCACAAGCCAGAAACCGCAAATTCATCAATCGGTTAAAATGATAATAATAATCAAATGAAATCTAATTGATGACAAATCGAATCAGTTTGCGATAAGCAACTTCATCGAATCAAATTCTACAAACTGTATAATTCCAAAGAAGTAGTAGCAATTCAAAGATTTCGCTTACATTGAAGAGGCAGAACAAGAACGATTGGAGAAGAAGCAACGGTTTGAGCATTTTTTTTTGTTCTTAGTGTGAGAGAGAGAGAAAGAAGATATAGAGCAGAGAAGAGATTGGTGGGCTTGTTGGTTTTGAGAGCCGCTTGTGTATATATATGTCTATATATATAAGCCAAAAAAGCTTACACACAATTATCTTTTGTCGACAACTAAAACCTACTCAATTAAAATCTTATTATATAAAACTTGATTCATCAAAGTTACTAACTAACATTATTATGTAAATATCAAGATTTTTGTGAAATATAGTTTACTTTTATTTTTTGTTAATTATTTTTTATGTTACTTTTCCAAAGAATAATTTTTTTTCATTTTTAAAATTCATTTTCATTTTTTAAATTTACTATTATATGGAGATATTGACTTTTTAAAGAAATAATTATCTTTTTATTTGGTGTCAATTAGTTTCTTATGTTAATTTTCCACACAAAAAAATATTTATACATTATCAAGTTAATTTTCATTTTCTGTTTTAAAAAAAATTGATTTCATTAAGAAAATATAAACAAGTAAAGAATAAAAATTGTGGTTTTATAGTATTAATAACTCCTCTTCTATTTTTTAAAAAACATAATTTTATCAAAACAAAAAAATAAGTTTAAGAATTCAAATTAATAAGAACAATTATTTTTTAAAAGTAAGTCTTTTGAAAACAATATGCAATTAAAAAAATTGTTAATTTGAATTGTAAAGATTATCTATAAATTTTAGTTATGGACGTCTACTAAAAACCAGTGCGTTTATATCTAACGCTTGATAAACGATGACATTATACACTCTATAAACTGTATTACTCTTACTAGTTAGTAGTTACACAATTTATATAGTTGTATGCTTTTATGAAAAAAATAAAATAAATGATGGCATTAGATTTGGGAAATACAATGGACGAAATAAGATAGGATGATGGGGGAAAATAAAGTAGGACTAAAAAATGAAAAAGAGTGGAGTGAAAAAAGGACAGGAGAAAGAGAGTGACAAGAGTAGATTTTAGAAGCAAGAAAAAAAACAAATCAAGTGGGACTTTTTTTTTTCTTGTTTTTGCAATATAGTAGTAATGGTTTGGTAACGCGTTTTCAGACCGGTTTTCGTTTTCTGCCCAATATATAATTTAACGGTTATTTATAAGTTTTTCTTTTAACCGTTCAAAACAAAAGAGCAATGAAAGCTTTAGGCTATTTATAGGGTTTTTTTTCCGGAGTAAGAAAACAAAAATTAATGATAATGCTCAAAGAAGTCTCTGTACTTTTTGTGTCTTCTAGTCTATTGTTACCAACTTACAACAAAGAACACAAATTAATGGAAATGTTCATAAAGTCTCAGCATTTTTTTTTGTCTTCTAGTATAATATTAACAACTTACAACCAGATTTAGAATGTAATTTTGTATGGAACACAAGTCGTTAAAGAAGAGAACTAATCAATTAAGCTATCATTTTTTGTTAATATTTGGTTTCAATTTTTTAACAAATTTAAATATGTATGGGACACATGCCCCATTCTCTTTTAAGCTATATTTGCCACTGTTTTTACAACACTATTTGTTAAAGAGTCACTGATTTATCACTTTTGTCCATTCAACCTACTTTGATATTGGTTTTAATAAAAATTATGCATTTTATAAGACTAACCACTAAACATAACATATTAGAATTTTTATATATCCAAATATGTATATAAATTTTATTCAAATATAATATATATTGAAATTAAATTTTAAATATATACAGAAATTATATTCAAATATATTCAGAGATTAAATCCACATATAATATATATAGAAATTATATGTGTAAATTATATTCTTTCATATATATAACATATTTAGAAGTTATACATAAGATTCACACCCTGGATTCACATATATTCACCTAATATGCATTTCTTATTTTATAAATGATAAATTTATTGTTTAGAAGTGGATTTGATCAAATATCTGTATTTATTCAAAAATAGAAATCTCGAAGATATGGTAAGTATAAAGTTGTAAATAATAAAATATGAATACCAATTCTACAAACTATTATGTATTTCGTACGGTCTCATCAATACTATCACATACCAGTCTCGTGTCATGTCACTTGGCTCGCAAGATCCGCTTTTCTTACGGACTATTTGAAGTGGACGGTTTGGTAGTTATAGACTTACATTAAATTTTCTTACTAAATAATTTCACGGCGTCTAGCTGAAAAATAACTTCTAGTCTTCTACAACATACAGATATGTGAATCCGGTACAACGAGAAGACAACTTGTATTTAAAACAGTTTTCATCAAATGTCGTAATTTGGTTTGCAAACATGTTTTAGGTCGGCAGTAATAGTAGTGCTTTTATTTAAGTAAGAACTAAAAATCAATGGCAATAACATTTATCAGGTATCGACTCTCATGCATGAGTGCATGCATTGATGTTGTCAATAGTCAAAAGCTATTATTTACAGTCTATTCTCAATTATCATTGACCAAAAAAAGGCTACATCAATAGATGACCAACGAATATGAAGACTATAGAGTGAATCTATGTATATAGAAACTGTGTGATGACCAACAACTATTAAAAAGAGTACTCCAGTAAAATCCATTTATAGTAACTTTGTGTAGGATTCGTTAGTTGTCTGATGACTTGATCATTGGTGCTTTGTACAAAAAGTGGCTCGACCTATTTTAAAACATTCAAAAAATTATACGTAAATTAATTATGTTTACCCCCACACTTTCTTTTATTTGAATTAGTTTTTCTCTCGTAAATCTTAGACAATCACTTATGTTACTATCACACATTTCCTTCAAATCAATATGAAAAGATCAAATATTTACGTATTGTCATTAACTATTATCAACCAATGGTCTATCAATTAGACTTCTATAGCTTTTCGTCACTAGAATTAAATTTAAAAAGTAAGATCGTAGTTGGTTGAATCGATTGGTGTTGTCCATAATTTTGAGCTATTATATAGACTTTATCAATAACTGAAGTAGCTAACCATAAGTTTGCTAAATTGTTAATAAACTCCATCCAGAAACAGCCATTTATAAAAAAAGTATAGTACTTCATAAATGTAAAGTGTAGCTTCCATTATTGTAGTAGTTATTTTTTTTTTTGTCGGGCTTTGATTTGAGTTATGTTTATGTCCTCACAAATGTAAAATAGCAGCGTCCAACATATTCTTGGTTCGATCGGTTTGATCGATAACCGGAAGCACGGTTCGGTAATAACCAATTCCAATTTAAAAAAAACCCAAAAACAATTTGTCTGACATCACACCACGCGTCATGAAGTTAATGGTTGTAACGAGACGCGGTTTTCGCCACCAGCCAAAAAAAACATAAGGGTACGTGTTGATGTAATAAGTGGAAAGAATTGAGTAAGATTCGTTAATAGTGAAACCCGAAAAACGCATTATTAAAATGAATAATAAGATTAGATAAAAATTCGTCCTTTTAGCATTTTCTCGATCTCTGTCTGATTGCCTCAGGAAATTGACAAAGCTCGTGAGAGTGGCAAATCAGTAGTACAGTTGAAGACGATGAGGGTGTTTTCGGTATTCCAAGATTGATCTCTTGTTACTGTGTAATGTGTATAATGTGTCTTTTTTTTTGGTTAAAGGTAATGTGTATAATGTCTCCGATGATTAGTATTATTGTTTCGTACGAATTTAGTAGCGAGCTCAAACACTTTTTTGAGTGACAATCAGGCGCCACGCCACTTATATACACAAGTTGCAACTAAAGACCCATAAGTGGACTGATTTATGCAATGCCATATAAGTGTAATATATTATGGTAAATATGTATGTGTATTGCATAATGTGTATGCATGACGTGATGATGACATGTACATTCTTTTGGAAGTGCAAGTTTGCAGCGGCATTGACATGGATGTAAGTTTTTGTTACCTTGTTTAATCATAAGGCCATGGATAGGGTTATTAGCAATGCCAATAAATATTTAATTGAACCGAGGGCCAACGCTTTTAATCTTTAATCCGTTAGTATAATATATATATCAACGATAATTTCATAATTTAGATTGAACCGAATACTTGTATAGGTGGAAATTCTCAAATATGCATGTCTCATACTTCTTCTTTTTATGTCAAATTAATATCATGCATATTGTATGTAACTTTCTTGGAAGTTACAAAAAATCGTATGAGACATGAAGTAAAAAGCAATGCATGGTGCTATTCAAATTTGAAATATTAGTCTGGGAAAGGAAATCAGAAATCTGAAATCTAAATTTTGAAAAAAAAGTATCAGAATTGTTCCCAAAATAAAACCTACAGGGACCATGACCATCCTATCTATATGACTATATGTTATACTCTAGTCAGAGTGTTAAATGTTTTATTCTGTTGTAATAGAAAATAATATCATATTGTATATTTGTAGCCATCATGCATATATTCATTATAGGTTTGTGTTTTATGTTTTACACATTAATTTTTTTTTCCAATACTAAATAGATTCATCTTCTATCATTTTTTCTCTCTTGTAAGTGCTTGTTTTAAAATCTTAGTTGGCAACGATGGAGTACTATCTGCATGCATGCTTTGGTTTTATAACTTCGTTCAGATGAGTGTATAAATAGAGATATATATGGCACTATACCTTTGATTAATAGATGTAATTAGTGATTTATATCAATATCATTTTGTATTATCACCCATATATTCAGATTTAATATCTTGTTGGGAAAAAGTACATATATTGAAATTTGCGATCGAGGGGCTGCCATGCATGGAGTGTTGTCCCC